CAGGTACTTGTTTTCAGACGAAGACCTACTCTTGAGAAATCCCATAAGTATACCAGAGGAGAGGTAGAACATGTAACAAGCCTAAAGGCTTCCAAAAATTTTTTCATTGCTGCTTGAGGGACTCTCAAATATAAATTCTGTGAAAATTTGATAGGCCGTGTTCCTTCCTCGTCCTAGTAGTGTCCACAGCCCCAGAAAAATTCCACCCTCTCGCGGCTCTCCGTTGAGTGGGTACTGAAGAGGTTACGTCATCAGCGTTCAGGCTACGCGTCTACGCTTTAAGGCGCTGCAACACGCGTCGACGCGTTGCAATTGCAACAGCGCTCCAATCCTATAGACACGAACACAGCCGCAGACGGAATTCGATCGGCACTAGCCTCTAGGGCGGCGCCGATCGACTCCCGTCTGCGGCTGCGTTCAGGACTATACGACTGGAGCGCCGCTGCAATTGTGGCGCGTCGACGCGCGTCATCGCGAAGGCTGAACGCTGCCTAGGTCTAAGGAACGCCCAGGGCACATCCTTCCGTTGGGGAAGCACTTTGCAAAATTCAATCCCTTCTAAGTTTCCCTTTCTAGTACAATTCTGTCCCCTTTCCCCATCACACCTACTATCTTCTGGAATGTTCCAACTTCCTACCCCTTCTACCAGTCCAGTTTTGAAGGGAGGGGGGGGGGTGGGGGGAAGAGAGGACGAAAGTATATGGCGAGCGTGAAACGGGAAAACAGGAATTTAATCGGATGCATTTTCTTGGAAGAACTTCCCAAGTAATGAGGTTTCGACTATTTTCAAATCAAAATAAAATAATGTAGCTATGGCGGAGGTGGTGTAGTGACCACTGGCGCGCTTACCACTCTCGCGATCCCGGGTTCGAATTCCGAGTCAACTCCCGCCCAGGCCAACCAAGCCTTCTACCCTCCGGGGACGGTAAATTGGTACCAGATTCGTCTGGGAGGATAAAACACTGACTTGTACATCGGCTGGCCCAAGTCATTGTATAGGCCACATCGCATTCAATAAGCCACTACGATTCTGAATGGAAGTAGAATGCGTGCCGCATCCCACAAAGGGATTGATCAACGGCGAAGACTTTATCCTTTACTCCTTTTAATATAGCTAAATTTGCAGAAGACTGACACAGTAAGTATGGTAATAGAGCGGCCAGTGAACGACGACGCGATCGCTAGCATGAAGGTGCATTCTGATTAAATATTGGATTTCGGCCAATGTAATCTTTTACTGTATTTCAAGGGCTTTCCTGGAAGCTGCCTGCCGACGTTCAGCACCTGGCTCACCGGTTAACAAGGCTTCGGATCCAAACGTTCTAGAAGTGAATACAGCGATAGAAAGGGACAAGAACGAGAGAAGATCTAAATCACAAACTGGGGCTGTCAAAGAAAATAACGTATTCGACAACAACAATGAAAAACAATCCAATCAAAGGAAACGTTCATCCATAAAGGTACTGCATATCCGTTTGCATACCGGAGGTTTTCGCTCAATTCTGAAGAATTTTAAGTACTACGGATGGAATCGGGGATGCGCCATGCCGCAAACTTCCGGTCAGAGCTGTGGAGAAACAGGATTTCATGAGGGCATGTAAGGTGCCCAGCGAAGGGCCAGTCTGCAAATTTGCGTCAGCACCCATTTCACTCTTCTGCAACTCTTTCAACTCTCCAACCAGGGCTTACCGTGAACGACCAGATAAATTGTCCGTCCAATGCTCCACCGCAACCCCAGGTGCGAACTCTTCAGGAAGTCGATCCAGTCTCACAATTAGGTGCACTTCCCAGAAAAAGTTCTCCACCAGATGAGGATAAATTGGGCGCAGGAGCGAACTCAGCAAAAACCACCAAGCCAGGGAATTTCTGTACACTTTCCCAAGGATGCAAATGGCGCAGTACGGCCCCTCCTCACTTCCCTTGCTACTTGAATGGGCCTTTCTTGAACTGGATTCCTTAACCCACAGCGTGCCCAGCGTTCCAGGCTGCTACTGAGAAAATCTGTGGGCTGTTGTGATAAATAAATGGGACTTATCTACAGCTACCCTACTGAAGAGAAGCTCCTCCCTTATTCCACCCTCAGCCTATATTCCACGTTCGTCCAACAGATGGATGCCAGCGTACTATGGCAACATTCTCATTGGCATATCTTCTCCCTTTTTCGCCTTACAACTTGAGTTGCCCCTTAGGGTGGTAAAAATGGTAAGCCCAACTCAGCCCGTACGACGAGCGTGGAATGAGGCTTCAGAGTCCACGAAACTGACGTGCAAAATCCTTTTCTTGGCAGCGAATGCTCCACTTTCCGCACTTCGGCTTCACGTCTTGCTGCGACCTTACTTTACAACAGCGCTAGGGCTGTTTCACGTTCCACACCTTCCGCCTCTTGCGATCCCCACCCTTACCATATCCTCCCATGGTTGGGAGGTGCGCTGGGGTCTTTAACAGCTGGTGCATCCTCGCCACACCACCGTCTGTTCACTCTTTTCCTAGCACAGCACCTTTAGCGTAGGTTTTTATAATGGGTGTCAGCATTACCCAAGGATATGCATCTAAGCCATCCTAGGACTCACAGCTTGATCGAGTAGCGTACCATTACTGCAATAGATGAACAAAGAATGGTGAGTAATCGAAATGATGGCTGCAGGTCAAATGTGATAACGCTGATCGTTCAACTGATCGCGAGAAACGAGCTGCAGAAATCCTGATGAAAGGAAAAAGGAGCAGTCGATTGTTAGGGTAAGTGGTGAGCAGGTCGGCCAGGATACAAAGCGGCAAATTCAGCGTTTCTGGCGGGAACCCGTTGAGCCACACTCCGTTCGCAGGTGTTGCGCCCGTCGTTCTTCCACCAATAACGCAGGGGCCGCCCTTCCTGGTCAATACAGCCCGACCACAAGGCTGCGTTCACACTTCATGATTCGAGCGATTCCGTCGTGCTCGCTAGTCGTTGGACCGATGCAACCGCTGAACAAAAACTCACAGATTGGAACATCGTTCGACCCCGTAAATCAATTCTCGCGCGAGGGATTTAAAAATCGCGCTAGTCGCTCGAGGAGTGAAGTATGAACGCAACTTCGCATGGACGCGATTCTAGTTCACAACTGAAACCTCTGAACATACTCCATACACTTCAGCAGTAGCCCATTCCCTTTAGGGATTACAGCGTATTTTTTCAGGAATTCGGCCCGAAGAGAAAGTCCGAAGTTCGTGGATAATAAACAATAAACAGATTTTAATAACTAATAAAAACAATTATGTGTTGATGGTGACCTCAAACGCCGCCGTCAATTAGAGACCTAAGAAGAAATTGATATTGATAGACTGACGTTATTGTATTGCATTAGATTATTCGAAAAATAAATATTAAAAAATACAGCTTATCAAAGTATTCAGAATAAGTATAATGACAAGAGCTGAACGTAAGCAGGGAGAGGGAGCAAAAAAAAAGTTCCTCAGCCCGAGGAGTCACTGCTATCACAGTCCGCACGCGCATGGTTTACTTTAGTACGTCTATGGCCTTCACTTTCTGAGGTATAAGGCACACTCGTGTGTAGAACGTCCTTCGCACCTCATCATGACCCACACCACTCCCATGGTCCTGTCGACCATGTATGGCGCGCGTTAAGCCTGTGGAAGGAGAGGGAGCCCGTACAAAGGCCTGAGTCACGGCAGCAACGGAGGGAGGAAGAGGGAGCCCCAGTCCAGCGACGGTGTGAGGCAAGTGATCATCTAAGCAGAGAAAATTCCAGCTCTGCATTAAAAGAAAATGTACAACTTTCGTCATTCGAAAGAGCCAAATAAAGCAGTCAAGAACGCGTGATCTTTTACTACTTTACCGTTTTCCGGCTACAAGACAACGACTTACACTATCATTTAGCGTGCAAGTTCCCCCAAATCTACTTCACTGCAATAATTAACTTCTTGTAATGTTAAATAAAATAAATATAAGTTTCAATTCATTATTTAATTATGCAATTGCGTAATCCGTAGAATGCCTCAGTGCACCGGACAACCAGCTCTGCATTAGAAGAAAATGTACTAGTTTCGTCATTCGAAAAGGCGGCGAAATAAAGCAGTCAAGAACGCGTGATCTTTTACACCTTTAGCGTTTTCAGGCTACAAGACAACAACTTACACTATTAGTTAGCGCGCGTGTTCCCTGCAACGTCGTAGGACAATCTCCATATGCTTGTCTCAGACGACGGTAGCGTTTCGGTTTTTGTAAGGTCACTCACTAGTCGTTCTGCTTTCCCCGTATACTTTTTTTGGAAACAAGGAAGCAGTAACAATTCAATTAGCAGAGCAAGATGCGTCTTAGCGGTGTTTGAATTTGCAAGCGTTACAATTTCATTGATGCAAATGCTCGTTCGGCTTTGCTTACCGTAATCTTTCTCTCGCACACAGCGCAGTGCACATCATTAGTTGAGGATTTTCTTCACGTCCGTACGACGCTCCTTTTTCAGTGGGTTAACAAAGCCCTCCCCTTTTTTTTAGTGAGCTTGTACGACCCCCCTGGTTCCCCTCCTCATCGAACTGGAGGAGGGCATATAACACATGTGAAACGGAAACATCTACCCCAAAAATTTTGCTATCGAGCGATGAGGGGAGGGGGCGGAATCAACTATCAAAAAATTTCTCAAATAAAATACGACTGCCCTCCCCCGGCGATCAAATACGACCCTCCTGTTGGGGAATCCCCAGCAACGATGTGCCCTGAGACAGCGTCTTATTCAACTACTTCCTCTCATGATTTTTTGCGTTAATGCTTTTCACAGCGGTTGCACAGAGGCCGCCAAGTGTGGAGTCGCCCGCAAAAGCATGAATCTTACAATTAGGCTGCGTGCCTGCCAGGGAAGGGTGTAACGAGGGTATTCTCGGAATCCCTCTTTACTTTTCCCGCCAGTGTTTCTATCCTCCTACGCAAATCTGATACCAGCTGATCCGTCCTCGTGGGGTTGAACGCTTGGTTGGCCCGGGCGGGAAACGACCCGGGATTTGAACTCGGAACCGCGCGGGTGGTGTGCGCGCCACTTCTAACCGCCTCCACTGCACAGTGTACGAGAAAAACCGCGAAAAGTCAGCAACCAAATTATTCCCAACGCCGCAAATTTCGTTCAGAAGGCAAATTCGACCCCCATTTCTCTCCCAGCAACGATCAAATACGACCCCCTACTCTCTATAGCTTCCGCAAAACATGAAAAACCAACCATCGGAAAAAGATCGTCAGAACCTGTTGGGGGATTTTCAACGTGGTGTGACCTGGGGGGGGGGGGGGGCGATTGGCTCCCAATCACATGTGATATACCATTTTCACTTTAAATCGGACACTTTTCAGACCAATCGGAGCACTAACACTCGGACATTTTCAATCAATCGGACACTTTTCAAATCAACAATCGGACACTTTATCAAACAAATCGCGACACTTCAAACCAAATTCGGCACTTTAACAAATCGCACTTCAAACCAAATCGGACACTTTTCAAATTGAATCGGACACACCCCTTACGATTAGGTGGCTGATAATTAGACCACTATCCCCGCCCACTTCTCAGCGCGGACAGGGTTTTCCGAGATGCTTCATGAAATCTGCTCCCTCGACTTTTTTTCGTTTTTGCCCTTTGCACACACACTTCAACTGAAAAAGATTGATACCTATACAGATCTGACTCCGCCCACTTAACAATGAAGTTACGTAAGTTCTGAATTTTTATAACTTTTTTCGACGTAGTTCTTTTCACATCCAATCTTCACAAAACGAATAACCATGCACAGCACACCAGGCCCCGCCCTCTGACCCCGCCCACTTGTGTTTATCGCGGAATTTTGGTTTTTCTTCCGGATTTTCGCTTTTTTAGGCTTTAGCGATTGGCTCCGCCCACCAATGGAAGCTCCGCCCACTTTGGGGAAGCCCCGCCCACTTTTCGAAAATGATGCAAATCGGCGGGCTAGTGTCCGTACTGGCGGATTACGGCCTCTCCCGGCACATAGAATAAAAAAAAGGGAAAAACCGGAAAAAAGGGAAACTTTGTTCTGAGCGACGGGAGAGGCCGTAATCCGCCAGTACGGACACTAGCCCGCCGATTTGCATCATTTTCGAAAAGTGGGCGGGGATAATGGGGCGGGGCTTGCAACAGTACCTAGTGTGGTCTAGTTATCAACCACCTAATTGTAAGGGGTGTGTCCGATTTGATTTGAAAAGTGTCCGATTTGGTTTGAAAAGTGTCCGATTTGGTTTGAAAAGTGTCCGATTTTAAGTGAAAATCGTATATATCAAACGCTCAAGGGTAGATGAAAAGCTCCCAAGTAAGAGTTATAGATTTCTTTCATGTTCTTTTGCTAAACGACACATTAGCGACACAGATTTGTGACACATAAATCCCTTGACAATTCTGAGAAACACCAAAATTCCCATAATTTTACGACCAATTCGTTCGTATTTCTTGTGCAATTGCAATTTCATGATCATTTTATGGCGATCACAAATATAAACGTTTCGACACCTCTCACGGCATCAACATGAAGCTGTTCCTTCTCTTTCTGGTGCTGTGCGTTGCCGTCGCTTCTGGCATATCATGGATCGAGTTCAGTGGCAAGAAACTCGAATCAAGGCATCCACAAAAGTACGTGGACGACACATCGCATCTCTTCTCATCCGCCAATGAAGCATCATCTCCAGAACGCTATGCAGTTCGTGAAGATGGAAGATTATCTCAGAGGACTGCCTGCTGACGTACGGAAAAGAAAGGTCACGGAGATTCTTAGAAGACTGCCTGATGACGAACGGAAAAGAAAGTTCACGGAGATTCTTAGAAGACTGCCTGCTGACGAACGGAAAAGAAAGGACACGGAGATTCTTAGAAGAGCTGCCTGCTGACAAACCAATCAAAGCTATCAAGATTCACAGAGAAGTGCATATTCAAGGAGACCCTCATAAGCACCGAATTTTGCCACTTCCTCACTAAACAGCAGGTATTAAAAAAGTTTAAAATATGTAATGTAATATATTTCATTGCTTTCAAATCAGTATTTGGGCGGAAGTGGTCTTGCTGCAAATGGCCAGCCAACCGCACCTGCTTTCTGCCGCACCGGAGGTTCGGGGGTTCCGCCCGAATCTCGCTTGGACCAGGAGAACTTCCTACCCTCCGCGACCCCTCGCACACGATAAATTAGTACCAGATTCGTCTGCTAGAATAAAATTGCTGACGCGTACACCGGCTGGCCCCTACAAGTCACTGCAAGGTCAGGTCATCCAGTAAGCCACTATGAATGAAAAAAATTCAAAGAATGAATTCAGAATTCAAAAAAGGATAGGCTCCTGCTGTTCAACCCCTTTTTATTCCTTTACCCACGTGTTCAAATGTGACTGTAGGGTAAGAAATGGATCTTTTTTCATCTCTTTTCATTGCAAATCAGTCGAGGGCCTACGAACCCTTCAAGTCAGTCCCTTCAGTGGCGTCCAGTTTTCTGCCCTTGTCTTCTTTTTCTTGCGCACATGATTTTCTATGGCCACGTTGCTTCCCACATCCTAACTTTCCTCGTACGATTACTTCCTCGCCACACGATGATGTTGCTCTTATAAAATTAATTGCTCAGCCACTTCTATAATACTCATGTTATACTCGCTTCTATTAGGTTGTCCGGAAAGTTCTGCACGTTTTGTGTTACTATTTTTTGAACATTCATTGCTGATTAAAAACTCACTTCTCCCTTGCGTCTCAGGTACATCCTGAAGAGAATTTTTTGCGCTATCTGATGGTATAATTGCCGTTTCACCATTGCTTGATGAACCCCCTTTTTTAAGATTTTTCAAGCATGTGAAAAGAGCACTTCGGACGATTTTTTTCTTCGACTATAAATTGGGGCAATCCGCAATCGAACAGCTCAACAAATTAACCAGGTGTGGGGGCCCAATAGTGCTAGAGAAAGCACTGTGCGGCAATGGCTCAACAAATTTCGTTCTGGAGATTTCAGCCTTGAAGATGAACCTCATAGCGGTCGACCTAAAGCAATATCTGACGAGGATTTTAGGGGTTTTGGAGGCTGACCCATCCCAAACAGTTCGAGAGATAGCAGAAGAGCTAGGCCTTGGCAAATCCACTGTTGCAGATGGTCTGGAACGCATTGGGAAGGTGAAAAAACTCGACAAGTGGGTGCCCCACAAGTGAGTGACCGGCAGAAATTGGCACGTCTCGAGGTTTCCTCTTCACTGCTTTTGCGCAACA